TGTCTTTAGATCTGAGCATGCGCGGAGCAGAGAGGAGTTATGTGTGGTAACAAGACGGGAAAATGAGGAAGGGCTATTAACGCCGACTAGGGTTACGCCTATTGGATCGTGGAGATAACGGGGAGGTACCGGAGCTTCCCGTTGAGGGGAAATGTCAGAGAGATAGGCGTGTTGGAGGGATATGTCTCCTCCGGTGAGATAAGTTTCATACTTACTATGAAATAAAATAAATATGCTTAAGGCTAGATAGGAGAAGAGGAAGGAGCAGGACGCTACAGGCCAAGGGGAGGGCTTTTGGGGGAGGGGGACCCATCTGGGAGCTGCCACCAAAGATGTGATTGTGACTTGGGTGCTAATTATTGATCCATCAGCAAGCACTTATTAAGTGCCAAGTGTTTGCCAAGCTCTGGGCTGGGAGCTGGGGCTACAAGAAAAAAAGAAAAGAACTAACAGTTACCTTCAAGGAACTCCCATTCCGTCAGGGGAAATGGGACGAGTACACCTATAAGTGTATGCAAAATAACAATAGCTAGCATTTATAGAACCCTTTTAGTATATTACATCATGCTATAATATATTTATTATATTACATCCTATCGTTATAGTTATATATCAATCTAATTACTATATTTACTATATCACACCCTATCATTATATATTTATCATACAAACATTATATTAGATTGTACATTTGTTATATTATATCATATTACATATTCATTACATTATATTTCATATTTATTATACATCATATTATATTGTATATTTATTATATCACATATTACATTATATTATTATATATTTGTATATTTTGTTCTATATTCATATTACATTTTGTATTGTATTATATATTTTATATTATATTACATATTGTTATATCATATTATAGGTTTATTTTATTCTATTATATATTTATTACATGTTGCATTATATCATTACATAGCTATCATATATTTCTGTCTAAATGCTTAACATATATTAACTTACTTGATCCTTACAATAGCTCTGGGAGATGAGGTACTGTTATCCCCATTTTCAAGATGAAGAAACTGAGGCCCAGAGGTTAAGTGGCTTGCCCAGGGTTATCTAGCATAGTAAATGTGTAAGACAGAAGAACAGTGTTGCACCACTGAGGTCATTTTATGGGGAGTCTCTAGTACCTGGAGGGGGTCAGGGTGGCCTTTGAGGCATTGCTTGATCTGAGCTTTGGGCCCAGGTGAGGAGGGAGTGCATTCCAGGCCTGGGGGTGGGAGGGGTGGGGGAAGGGAGCCAAAATGACCTCCTTAGAAGGAGCTGGCAGATTTCTGGCTCTGGCTTCTTGTGAGTCTAAAACTGGGACTGTCCCCTCCAGGGAGGGATGGGTGCTGAAGGGAGGGGCACTGTTAGTGATAAGAGAGGGGCCTGGCGGAGGCGTGTTTAATTAGCTAGGAGAGCCATACTCCGCCCCCTGCTCCTCTCCCTTATCTTTTCCTGTGGTAGAGGGAGGTTTCCAGGCCTCATTCTGAAAGGCCCCCTTTGCCTTCTCTTTGCTCCAGATGAATGCTCAGGGCTAAGGTACGTGTGTCTCGGGTGAGCAGGGGAGGAGAGCTAGCTGGCTGGAGAGCCAGTGGGCTCTGGTGAAGGCAGGCAGCCACTGGAGGCAAACGGTTTTGTCCCACGAGCAGCACCAGATGGTGCTGGAAGAGCATCCCTGGGAAGGGGAAGCAGGGCAGGGCTGCCTCTTCTCCTGGCTCTCTTGGCTCTGTCCCAGGCTCTCGCAGTGACCTTGGGCCTCTGCCTTTCCCTGGGCAAGGTTGGAGATAAGTCGACTTGTCTTTGTTACACTTTATGTCCCTGCCTGCAGTCTAGCAGGAAGTGGGACTGGTCACAGGGTTGGTTCATCCTATGAGTCAGCTCCATCAGCAGATCCTGGGAATTCCTGTGTTTCCAAGAATAGCGCCATCCTGGTCTGACCTACATGGCCAAGCTTTGCTGCCTCGTCAGCTTACATGCAGGGTCCCTTCCCCAACCTGGAGCTCCTCGTGGGGTTGTTGTTGTTAAGACTTTGTGGTTGGCAGAGATACTGGACCAATTCGCCATTTCCCTTTCCAGCTCATTTTACAGATGGGGAAACTGAGGCAAACAGGGCTAAGTGACTTGTCCAGGGTCACGCAGCTAGGAAGTGTCTGAGGCTGGATTTGAACTCAGAAAGATGAGTCTTCTTGACTCCAGACTCGGTGCTCTGTCTACAGCCTTGGAAAAAGGGGCAATATACCGTAAAGGTTCTTCCCTCTTGGGAGTCAGTGGAAAGAACACTAGATTTAGCAAGGGAAGACCTGAGTTCAAATCCTGGCTCTACCACTTACTACCTGTGTGACCTTGGGAGTCACTTAACTGCTCTGTGCCTCAGTGTCCTCATCTGTAAATATAAGGAGGCTGGAGTAGGTGACCTCTGAGGTTCCTTCTGGGTCTAAATCTCTGATCTTCTAGGTTACCAAGAGGCAATTAGGAAAGAGGGGGAATGGGCTGCCTTGGGGTGGGGCAGGTTGATGGGTTTTCTCATCCTGCAAAATGGGGCTGATCCTTCAGTCACTTTTTGCCTTTCTTGCCCTCCCTAGGGCTTAGCACAGCGCCTGGCATGTAGGAAGAGCTTGGTAGACACTTGAGTCCTTTGCAGACCTTTAGGTCAGATGGGCATGGGAATAGTTGTCTTCGTGCTTCAAAGGTCCTCTAGTTTGTCCCTTTGGGCTGCCCCTTCCAATGTAGATGGTGCCCCCTCTAGAACTTAGCCAGTGGTCTTCAAGAGTTGTGGTGGTCCAAAGAGTCATCCCCCAGCGTCTGTGCCTGGCACATGGTGGGCCCTTAATAAATGCTTGTTGACTTGGCCAACCTAGTCATCAGGTTCTTGGCAGCCTGGCCAGCCGGGTGCTCAGACAACAGATTCTCTCTGCCTGGACTCACCTTTGGGCTGCTGAGAGGTCATAAGATCTTAGGATAAATTAATAGCAGGCTCTTAGACAAGAGCACAGATACAAAAAGCAAGACCATCCATGTCCTCAGGGAGCTTACCCCGAAATGGAGGGGGTGGGGGCAGGGGCATCGGCCGAGGAAGGGAATTTTGGCTGGGGAAATCCCTGGTAGGCGACTCCTGTAGTTTCCAGAGGAAGAGGTGGAAAGGGGTGGGAGGTGGTGTGAGACTGTAGGACAGGTTGTAATCCACATCTTCATTCTAATTTATCTAGTACTTTGAGGTTTGCAAAGTGCTTCATGTATACACTCGCAACTGCCCTGTGAGGGACGTGCCATTATCATACTCATTTGACAGATGAAGAAACTGAGGATGAGAAGAGTTAACTGAATTTCCCAGGATCAGTCAGTCAGTCTGTTAATATTTTATTAAGTCCCTACTGTGTGCTGGACACTGTGCAAAAGCACTAGGGGTAGAGAGAAAGGCAAAAGACCATCTCTGCCCCTGAGGAGCTCACCATCCAGTGGGGGAGCCAACATACAAACAATTCTGGACAAGTGGGTTAGAGATGTGATGGATGGAAATAACCTCCTTCTGGAGGGCTCTAGGATTAAGTTGACCTGGGAGGTCTTCCTGGCTCTCAGTCCAGCACAGTTACCTGTACCACCTACCTGCAAGGAGAGGGCCCCTCTTTTTCAAAGGGATTCACAGAAAAAAGGTCTGGGATAACTCACCATCCTTTCTTTTGTATTTAGTTTTCTCCAGTTGCTCCTTAACGATGCCCTGCTTTATTTATTTGAGTGGGTCAGTGTCCCCACTGGGGCTCAGACTGGGTGGGATCTACAGCTCCTGTCCTGCTTGGCCATGAACCCTGCCCTCCAGCAAGGGGCAGAGGCAGAGGCAAGGAGCTTAGCGCCTGACGGGGACTGGGGCGGATTGCTTTCTGTTACATTTATGTGATCATCTCATCTCCCCAACTTCATGGAGCCACAGATGGAGGGGCCTTAGAACAGGGGATGTGAGAGCTGGGAGGGGCATGAGAACAGGGGATGTGAGAGCTGGGAGGGGCCTTAGAACAGGGGATGTCAGAGCTGGGAGGGGCCTTAGAACAGGGGATGTGAGAGCTAGGAGGGGCATGAGAACAGGGGATATCAGAGCTGGGAGTGGCCTTAGAACAGGGGATGTCAGAGCTGGGAGGGGCCTTAGAACAGGGGATGTGAGAGCTAGGAGGGGCATGAGAACAGGGGATATCAGAGCTGGGAGTGGTCTTAGAACAGGGGATGTGAGAGCTAGGAGGGGCATGAGAACAGGGAATGTCAGAGCTAGGAGGGGCCTTAGAACAGGGGATGTCAGAGCTGGGAGGGGCCTTAGAACAGGGGATGTGAGAGCTAGGAGGGGCATGAGAACAGGGGATGTGAGAGCTAGGAGGGGCATGAGAACAGGGGATATCAGAGCTGGGAGTGGTCTTAAAGGGGATGTGAGAGCTAGGAGGGCATGAGAACAGGGAATGTCAGAGCTGGGAGGGGCCTTAGAACAGGGGATGTCAGAGCTGGGAGTGGCCTTAGAACAGGGGATGTCAGAGCTGGGAGGGGCCTTAGAACAGGGGATGTGAGAGCTAGGAGGGGCATGAGAACAGGGGATATCAGAGCTGGGAGTGGCCTTAGAACAGGGGGTGTCAGAGGGGCAGGCCTACTGCTTCTGCCCCCTTATTTCCACAGCAAGCTTGGACTTGTGTGGGCTTCCACAGCAGGTCAGTGAAGCAGATGGGACTAGGGCCTGGGTCTCCTCACCCCCAGAACAGTGGTGTGTCCAGTTCCATAGAATTTTTGAGCTACGAGGAACCTTAAATACCCTTGAGTCAAATCCCGCAATTTTCTAGCAGATAGAATTGAGGCATAAAAAGAGGGAGTATGTGAAGAGAGTCAGGATTTGCATCCAGATTCATGCCCAGAGCAGACCCCAGACCTAGCCCTCTGGCTACAGACTGGTCGCACAGCTCCCACCTTTTGCAGCCCTGGAGACTTTTTTCTCCTCCTCTTCTCTCCCCCGCCAGGTCCCTGGCCACCATGAAGCTGAATGAGCGGAGCCTGGCCTTCTACGCCACCTGCGACTCCCCGGCGGACAACACGGGCTTCCTGTACAAGAAGGGCGAGCGCCACACGGCCTACCACAGACGCTGGTTTGTGCTCAAGGGAAACATGCTCTTCTACTTTGAGGACCGTGACAGCCGCGAGCCCGTGGGTGTCATCATCTTGGAGGGCTGCACGGTGGAGCTGTGCGAGGCTGCCGAGGAGTTCGCCTTCGCCATCCGCTTTGCTGGTGCCCGCTCGCGCACTTACATCCTGGCGGCCGACAGCCAGCCGGCCATGGAGGCCTGGGTCAAGGCCCTGTCCCGCGCCAGCTTTGACTACATGCGGCTGGTGGTGCGTGAGCTAGAGCAGCAGCTGGAGCAGATGCGGTCAGGGGGCAGGCGGCGGACTGAGCCCCTGGTGCCCCCGCGGCGGGAGCGCTCACTGCCCTCGAGCAGCTCCAAGGAGAACGGCTGTGCCGTGTGGAGTCAGGAGTCGTCCGGCCTGCCCAATGGGACCCTCCCCAGGACGAGCCACGAGGGGGCCCCTAGGCCTCCCCCACTCCCACCCCGGCGGAAGCCCTCCCTGGGCAACAGCCCCATCCCCCTGCTGGCCTCCGAGACTCCTTTCACCCCAGGCACAACCACCTTCTCTCAACTTCATGACTGGTATGGCCAGGAGATTCTGGCGCTGAGGCGTGAGTGGCTGGAGAGCCGAGGCCAGCTGTGACCCAGCTGGTGGAGAACTGGGGGAGTGGGGTTGGAGAACAGTGGATCATCCGACCCATGGTTCTTATAGGGGAAAAATCTCCTCTGCTGGCAAGTCCCTGACCTGAGGCTCCCAGGAAGGGTCTGTCTGGCTGGCCCTTGGCTTATGGTCATCCGGAAACATCCTTTTTTCCCCTCTGACTCACTCTTGGTCCGTTGACTGCTGATCCTGGCACTGGGCCAGGCAGGAGCTTGCAGGACCAGCCCTGTCGGGGCAGGGTGGATGTCCGGGTCAGCCACCCAGCCCAGACCCTGCCTGGCCACTCGGTCCAGAGTGAAGGAGGGTCAGGCTTTATGGTCTGTAGCCAGCTACAGAGCTGGGCTGGCATGGGGCCTGGAGCCTCTACTGTTACCTCCCCTGTGTGGCCTCCTTCTAGAGTAGGGGAAGTGTGGGGAGGGGGGCCGTGTGCCTGGGGCCCTGCTCTAACGGTACAGTGTGTGTGTCTGCATCTCTCTGTGTGTGTGTCCTCCCTGTATCCATTGCATCATCGTTTACAAAGCATCCTTCTTTCTCCTCACTGCTCCTCAAGGGGCCGGGATTGCTACGCCCATCCTCCAGTATGTGAGGAATCTGGGATGTTATTAGTGGGTGGGTGCTCCCTTCATTCACACAGGCAGTAACTCACCCCTGCTTCTCAGGTCATCTGAGGAGTTGTTGTGACGCCCCCCCCCCCCCAAATGGGCCACCTCCCATCCCCTCCCAGCATCACCAGGAAAATAGTTCTGTCACTGGGCTCCTCCCTCAGCCCATTTCACTGATGTGAAAACTGAGACTCAGAGAGGAGAAGTAATCAGAACTAGAAGGAACCTTTGACATCACCTAGTCCAAGCTCCTCATTTTATGTGTGGCAGGGCTGTAGTCCTTGTTAGCTAACATTTCTATGAGACCTTAATGTTTGCTGAGCGCGCTTATAGTCATTATCTAGTCCTCACTACCACCCTGTGAAATGGGTGCTATTGTCTGACCCATTTTACAGATGAGGAAACTGAGGCCTGTAGTGGTAGCATGGCTTGCCAGGGTTACACAGCTAACAGGTGTCTGAGGTGGGCTCTGCAGCTAGGGAACCCCCACTGCCCCCTTACTCCATTGTGCACCTGGCCCAAGGTCATAAGTTGCAGAGACAGGATAATGATTCCTGGTCTGCTGCCTGGGGGTCTTCCTGACTCCAGGCCTAGTGCTCTATCCATTGCACCACCTAGCTGCCCTGCTAGGTCATTCACTGGTCATTCAGTGCCTCAGTTTTCCTCTCTCAGTTCTGTGCCTGTTCAGCTTAAGCTGGCTTTTTTCACTTCTAAGCACAGTGAGGGGGCACGGCAGGTATCTGGAGATGTGCCAGCATCCTGAGCTGGGCCGTAATGGGGTTCCTGGGGAGGGGAAACCCTCATCCCTGACTCCAGAGCACAATTCTTTCAACTATTCTAAGGGATTTCCGTTTCTTCAGCCCTCCCTGGAAAAGCAGTATGTGGTCTAATGCGGGGGTGGGGGGGCCAAACTTGGCCTTGGGGGGCCAGAAGGACCTGAATTCAAATCCTGACACACCAACAAATCACTTACCTTTCTCAGTGCCTTCAGGTAACCCTGTGACTCTGTGTCACAGACTTCCAGAGCTGTGGGGCATTTTCTGCACCCGGATTTCCCCATATTCCCTACAAAACTGTTACTGTGCTAAAGCCCCTGCTGCCTTGCCTTGCAGTCCTTTGAAAGAATGCCCAGGCAGAACCCTGAGCTATTGCAGCCACCAGGAACCTGGGCGTTTGCCGTGGGAAGATGCTGGTCCTGCAGTAGCCAGATGACCTGTCTGATGTCACATTGACCTAGAAGCAGAGCTGGGATTCCATCCTAAGGCTCCTGCCTCTAAATCCAGGGCTCATCCCATCATTAACAGGGTAACTACTCTGTGCCCGCCTACAGCCTAGGTTTTGGGGCTACAGGGGAGGGACAATTCCTGACCTCTGGGAGCTTGCTTTTTGTTTACTGCCTGTTGTTCATTTATGTCTAAGACCTTCTCCAGCTGGAAAGTTGTGGGAGATTAATTTCAGAATCGTCCGTGGGAGGCATCATAGCTAGGGAGATAGGGGATCCAGGAGGCCCTGGGGGACTGGAACCCAGGACAAGGCCCCAGGCAGCTTTCTAAGACTTGGGAGTTGCAGTGGTGGACAATTAACCCTCACCAATGAAATTTCAGGTCTGGTCCAAAAAAAAAAATTCAAAATTTAGGACTGTGTCATGAGTAGACACTGGTTTCCTGGGCAGGACCCGGGAGCTGCCCTTTCTTGGAATGTATGCTTGGAGCTTCTGGAGGTGGTGATTTCTCTGCCACTGAAGGACTTCAAGGAGAGGTCAGATAAGCATTTGTTGGGTATATCATCGGAGTATTATTGGTCAGGTATGTAGGCAGGAGGCTTTGGTCCAGCTCCCATGCTGAGGATGAGTTCCCCCCATTGTTCCAGAGTCATGGAGTTCAGGGGTGCGGGCGCCTTCTTGGCAGCCATCACCTCCAGTCCCCTCATTTTACAGAAGAGAAAACTGAGGCAGACAGAGATGAAATGACTTTCCCAGAGTTACACGGCTAAGTGCCTGAGGTGGGATTTGAACTCAGGATTTCCTGACTCCAAGTCTGGACTCTATGCACTGTGATACCTACCTTGACACCTCATTCAAGAGGTGCTGGGCGTGAGAATACCCCTGGAGCAGGGTTTGGGGGTGAGGTCCCATAAAGTGCTGGAGGCTGCCTCCTCCCGTGACCTAGTGACATGTTTCTAGTTCTTAGCGTGTGGTGTGTTTCTCATGTGGTCAAGTGTGTTCGTAGGGTGGGTCTTCTACTGGGACAGAGAGGGAGAGGCCACGTGACAAATGAAGAGGGACCCGTTGGTCCCCATTCCATGCTTGCCTGCAGAGGCCTTCAAGGCCAAGTTTCTGCCTGGCTCTTTACCATCTCACTGCTGGCCCGGTGCATTATGAGTGGGGCTTGGATTATTATTATTATTATTTTTTAATAAATTAGGGCTTTCCCAGGTACTTTGTGATGTGTGGGATGTCTTCCCTCCCTGGTCCATGCATGGTGATTGTCTTTGCAAAGGAGTATTGGGGCTGGATCTTAGAGAAGCCAGTCTTGAGCCGGAGGGCATCCATTGGGAAGAAGTAGAGTGACTGAACACCCCACCTCCCCCATTCCTCTTTCCTCTCTCCCGCAGGCCCCTGCCAGGGCTAGAACAGTGTAAGTTGAGCTACGGCTTACCTTCTCACTCCTCAAGCTATCTAAAGTAACCACAGATTTTTCATGCAGGTCAGATATGAACCCTTATTTTACAGCTAAGTCACTGAGGCCAGAGAATGACTTTCCATGCCCATGCTCTCGATCTGGAGACAGAGGACCTGAGTTCGAATCCTGTTGCTCATGCTTTTTAGGTGTTGAGCTCTTGAGCTCGGATAAATCCGTTAACTTCAGTGTTCCTCAGCTTCCTTAATAGAAAATTAGGGGGTAGGGATAGCTTGCCCCTAAAGTCCCATCCTGCTCTAGACTAGACTTAGGATTCCAGGCAGGTGGTATTAGAGTGGAGACCACAACCCAGGTGTCCTGACTCCGGGGTACCTTCATTTCCTTTGCTACAAAGTGAAGGAGTTTGACCCTTGGTCCCTTTTAGGGAGAGGGTGAGGAAGGCGGGTCTGTCTGGTCCAAGCTCTGAGCTCCAGAAGGGTGGCTTAGGAAGCGGAACAGCCCCCAAGCCCACCCCAACATTCCCAACCTCTGTTCTGAGCCCTGGGCCACGGCAGAGGGTTTCTAAGCTTTTCACCGAGTTGGATGTAGAGACAGTAGCCGAGTGTCATTGTGGGAAGACGGCCAGCCTTCAAGCCAAGAAGACCTGGTTTCAGGTCCCATCTCCGACATACACCTCCGTACTGTGTGTGTGATGCTGGTCAGATTATTAAACCTCCCAGTCCTATGCTACCATGCAATGGGAGAGGGTTTCCTCACTCAGGAGTTCCAGTCCTCATCCCTATCCCTTGACTAGAATGAAGGCTTATGGCGGGTCTGAAGTACTGCGCTCCCTGGGGTGGGGGTGGGGGGGTGAGGGTGGGAGCTGGTCTGGGGCCTGGACTTCCTCCTGGATGGAATTCCCAGCCCAACTCACTGAGAGACTCAGCCCAGGGCCTTCAGGGGAAGCACAAGATGGGGAGTGCCTTCTGGGTACAGGTCAGACCTGGAGGGGGAACCTGAGAAGGCTGGGAGTGGAGGGCGGGAATTTTTCGAGTGCTGAAATAAAATGGCCTTTGTGAAGAGATGTGTGTTTGTGTCTTCTTTCTATCCAAGCTGTCCTTTTTCCTTCTGGGAAAAATTGATTATCTCATATGTAGGAACTAGGAAGTGGACCCACTCAATAAAAAAATAAATTTCAGTCAATTCAGTAAACATTTATTAAGCACCTACTATGTGCCAGGCATTGTGCAGTGCTTTGGGGATACAAAAAGAGGCAAAAGGGAGAGACAAAATGCAACAAATGATACAAAGCAAGTTACACTTGAGGATAAATTAATTGGAAATAATTAAAGAGGGAAAGCACTGGAATTAAGAGAAGGTAGGGCATTCAAGTCTCCCTGTAGTCACTCAAGCATTTATTAAGCACCTACTGTGTGCTAGGCTTTGTTAGGCATCGCAGATACAAAGACAAGAGGAAATAGGCCTTGCCCTCAAAGGTTTACAGTCTATTAGGGAAGGCGACAGGTACATATTAGGTTTTGTATACATAATATACAGGTGCGCTCCTCTACCACCTGTCTTGTATGTACCTGTTTATTTGCTTGTTAATTATCTCCTTAGCAAGGCAACTAGGTGGTGCAACGGATAGGGCACTAGGCCTGCAGTCAGGAAGACCTGAGTTCAAGTCTGGCCTCAGACACATAACCGTGTGATCTTGGGCCAGTCACTTACCCCTGTTTGCCTTGGTTTCCTCATCTGTAAAATGAGTTAGAGAAGGAAATGGCAAACCACTCCAGTATCTTTGCCAAGAAAACCCCAAATAGGGTCGTGAAGAGGACGCTACTGAACAATTAACCATTATCTCGTTAGATTATCAGCTGCCAGAGGGCAGGAACTATCTTTTGCCTTTCTAAGCTGAGGCTGCTGGGTGTCACAGGGACTGAACACAGGGACTGGAGTCCCGAAGGCCTGAATTCAAATCTGTTCTCAGACACTAGCGGTGTGACCCTGGGCAAGTCACTTAACTTCTGTTTGCCTCAGTTTCCTTCACAGTAAAATGGGGACAATTAACAGCATTTACCTCATAGGGTTGTGAGGATCAAACATTGCATAGCCCATAAAGTCACAGTGTCTGGTACATAGTAGGCACTCTATAAATGCTCATTTCTTCCCCACCTTTGTATTCCCAATAATTAGCAATAATGCCAGGTACATAGCAGGTTCTTAACAAATACTTTTTGATTGGTTGGTATGTATTTATACGCCATGTCATAATGCGGGGCTGCTTCATAGAAGACACTTAGACATTTGTTGATTGGCTCCTTGAGGTTAGTGACTTTATATTTCCCTGTCTGTTTCCTACCATAATACTTGGCACACCAGAAGTGCTTAATAAATGCTCAGGGAGTAATTGATTGAAGAAAGGGGTAAACCTTGAAGCTGAAAGCCTTGAAGGCCACAGCTACTCCTTAGGTTCAGACATATGTCAAGTGCCTACTCTGTGCAGCCCTTCGCTAGGGGCTGAGCCCTGCCTGAGTTCACATGGAAAGGGAGTCTCCATTTCTCTAGGAACTTGCTGCTGGAGGATACAATTTGTGCGTAGATACATAAATACAAAGTAATATGAGGAGACTGAGAAAAAACCCTAATGATTGGAGGGGGAAAGGATGAGAAGGGAGGTGACAAGGAATACAAGAGGCAGAGGGGAGGGTGTGCGTTCTAAGCATGGGGCTTGGGAAAAGTCATGGAGTCTGGAGATGAGTTGGGAGAAAAGCAAGTAAGCCAGTAAAGGAGAACAAAGTATAAAAGAATGAATGAATGAAAAAGCATTTGTTAAGCTGCTAGGCTCCGAAGATACAAAAGGGAAACAGTTTCTGCCCTCCAGGAGCTTACGTTCTGATGGAAGATGGCACACATAAGGGAAGGGAATTTTGTCCCAGGCTATCATGGGATGGTGTGTGGAGACCTAAATGGCGATTACTTCTGGGAAGCCACTGACACTCCAGTCTCAACTGGTCTGCCCTAGGGTGGAGTTCTAAAATGGAGCCCATTAACTGGTAGAAGGGGTGGAGGGGGTAGAGGCTAGAGACTGGCATGCCAGTCTCTGGAGGCTTGATAATGAGGCTGCCATTATAGGAGGGGAGTAGGATGAGCTAGCTGAGATGTGAAACTTGGGCTGGGCCAGCTAGATGTAGTGTTTGTACTCAATAAGGAATGTGCTGTGGGTCAGTGGACTGGGTGGGGATGTGACCAGGGCCTGGTGTGAAGGAGCTGCTAATTAGACACCAGCAATAAGGTTTATTAAGCACCTGCTATGTGCTAAGCACTGGAAATACAAAGGCACACAAAAAGAAAGACAGTCCTTAACCTCAGAGAGCTTACATTCTAATGGAAGGCTGTAGATGAAAGGGAACTGAAAATAAGAGGAGGAGGAGGAAGAGGGGCATGTGCGCAAGTGTGCGCACTCTGGGGTAGTGATGGAGAATAATGGCTAAAGTCCATGGCTCTTCGGGGCCTTTCCTAAAATGGAAGTTCTGGGAGAAACTCATCAATAGGACAAGAGCCTGTAGGAGTTGAGGGGAGAGACAGCTGGGGCATGAGATCACTCACCAGCCATCCAACCCTTTGTCCCTCAGAACTGTCAAGGTTGGCTTCTGCCTTTATTCCAGTCTATCCTAAGGTAACATAGCTCCAGATCTCACTTCTTTTTTGGGGAATGGGGGTGGAAATTGGGGTTAAGTGACTTGCCCGAGGTCACACAGCTAGTATCTGAGGCTCGATTTGAACTCAGGTCCTCCTGGTTCCAGAGCTGATACTCTATCTGCTATACCACCTAACTGCCCCTCAGATCTCATCTCTACGGAGATGGATGCTCTCTGCTTGTTGTAATGATTGTCAGTAGCTGGAAGGCTCCCGCTCCATCTCGGGCTGCATCAAGAGCGATAGTGTTTGGGATAAGGGAAGTGCTCATGCCCTAATTAGGCCCTGTCATGGTATTCAGTTGTGGGCATCCTATTTCAGCAAGGACGTTATTAATGGGGAAAGGCTGAGAGGAGGGCAGCCAGGGTGGCAGAGGTCAGGCCACATGAATACTTTTTGGAGGAATTGTGGATGAGAAGAGAAGATGCCTTCAAATACCTGGAGGACTGTCATCACCTCTCACCTGGATTATTGAAATGGCCTCCTCAGTGGTCCCTGTGCCTCGAGTCTCTACCCAAAATGATTTTCTTTTTTTTTTTTTTCAGTAGCATATTTTATTTATTCATTTATTTTGATTTATCAACAATCACTTCCATATGCTTTTGAGTTTAAAATTTTTCTCCCCTTCCTCCCTACCACCTTCCCCAAGATAGTGCACAATCTGATATAAGCTATACATTTACATTCCTATTAAACATATTTTCACGTTAGTGAAGTTGTAAGTAAAAATTAAAACCAATGGGAAGAACCATCAGAAAGAGGAAACAAAACTCAACAGAAGAGAAAAAAAAGATAGCGATTCAACTTTCACAGTTGTGATTACTATCCGTGTCTTTTTCTCCATCCTTTTCCCCCCATTTATGCTTTTCTTTCTCCTCTCTTTCTTCCCCCCCTCACCAGTACTTTGCTTTTGACCACTGCCTCCTTCAGTCTCTCCTCCCTTCTATTATCCCCCTCCCCCTATTCCCTTTCTCCCCCACTTATTCCTCCTTCCCTTCCATCTCCCCTCCCTTTTCTTTCCCCTTTTCCCTCCTACTGCCCGTAGGGCAAGTTAGATTTCCATACCTAACTGATTGTTATTCCCTTCTTGAGCCAAATCTGATGAGAGCAGGGTTCAAACAATGCTCACCCCCTCCCTTCTTTCCCTCTGCTGTAATAGGATTTTCTGTCTTTTCCTGTAATGTAATTTACCCTTGTCTGCCTCCTCCTTTCTCAGTACATTTTCTAAGATCAGACTAATCCACTTACTTGGATCCATTTAACCCACTTGATTAGATTTTTTTTTATCATTACATCAAAGTCAACTAATTTCCACCCTATTTATATATACTCCTTTAACATGGTGTAATAACAATACAGTTCTCAAGAGTTGCAAGTGTCATCTTCCCTTGTAGGGATATAAACAGTCCGCCCTCATTAACATTTTATATCTTTCTGTCCCATTTACCTTTTTGTGTCTTTCTTGAATCTTGTACTTGAAGATCAAATGTTTTGTTGAGCTCTGGTCTTTTTATGAGGAAGGTTTGGAAGTCCCCTATTTTGTTGAATATCCATCTTCTCCCTTGAAAAATCATGCTCATTTTTGCTGGGTAGTTGATCCTTGGCTGCAATCCAAGCTCCTTTGCCTTATGGAATATTGTGTCCCCTGTGGTCTTTTAATGTAGAAGCTGCAAGGTCCTGTGTAATCCTGACTGTGGTTCCATGACATTTAAATTGTCTCTTTCTGGCTGCTTGCAGCACCTTCTTTTGGAATTTTGCTATTATATTCCTTGGCATTGTCAATTTGGGATCTCTTTCAGGTGGTGATCGGTGTATTCTTTCTATGGTTATTTTACCTTCTGGTTCTAGGACTTCCGGGCAGTTTTCCTTTGTGATTTCCTGAAAGACACTGTCCAGGCTCTGTTTTTCATCGTGATTTTCAGGTAGTCCAATGATTTTTAAATTGTCTCTCCTGGATCGATTTTCCAGGTCGGTTGTTTTACTGATGAGGTATTTTATGTTTTCATCCATTTTTTCATTTTTTGTTTCTGTTTGACTGATTCTTGCTCTCTCATAGAGTCATTAGTTTCCTTTGTCCAATTCTAGTTTTTAACAGATTGTTTTCTTCTGTTAGTTTTTGTACTTCCTTCTTCAATTGGCCAATTGATTTTTAAGGGATTTGTTTTCTTCAGTGTACTTTTTTTCCAGTTTGCCAATTGTGTTTTTTAGGGACTTGTTTTCTTCAGTGTACTTTTTTTCCAATTGGCCAATTGTATTTTTTAAGGACTCTTCTACCTCTCTCATTAGACTTTTAAAATCCTTCTTGAGCTCTTCTAAGAAGGCTTTTTGGGTTCAGACCAGTTCATATTCCCTTTTGATGTTGCAGATGTGGGTTTGTTGACAA